TAAGCCACCCACTCACCTGGGGTGACCCAGACCGACCCCCGGCAGGGACGTCACCACGGGGCTCAAGATGTGCGTCGGTTATCCATTTCTCCATGGCAACACACTCAAAAACTTCAGGACTTGGAAGGATGGATGGAATTAGAAAATCATCATTTGGCCACCGACACAGCCATCACTGTTTCGGGCAAGGCATCGACGGATGCCCAAACTAGTGGGCCAGAGCGTGAGAGATGGGACCGTTGACCCGTCTCAGAGTCTCTATCACAAGATGCCTCGTAACTTCAAAGGGAAAATGGTAACTCTCAGTGGAGAAACCCAGCAGACACCACCCTAACCGAGTGAGCAGAGTTTACATCGCCAAGAACGGGACACATTGACATCTTGTGCCTCTGGACAAGGTCACTCTGGTGTTCCTGCCAAAACCCGAAATGAGGAACGTTCCACAGCATAACCGGACGGTACTCCTTCAAAGTGCCGAGGACATGAAAGACAAAGAAAGACAAAGAGAGTCTAAGCAACGGCCCCAGATTAAAGGAGACCGAAGCGACCGGCGACTAGAGTCCGTGTGTGACTGTGAGCCCCGGGCCAGGGCAGAGCCGCCACTGGGACAGTCAGTAAACTTTCAACAGGTCTGCACATAAAACAATAGTACTGAATTGGTGCCAATTTCCTCATTTTGCTAATTGCACTGAGGTTGTATAAGAGAATGTCCTTGTTTTTTACAAACACACATGTATGTGTATAGTATTGAGCAGTAAAAAGAAAAAAAAAAAAAGTCGTGGCTTAAAGCAACAAGAATGAATCATTTTTCACAGTTCCATGGGTCGCCTGAGCAGTTCTTCTACTGTTTGTGGCCAGCCTTGCTCGTGTGGCTGGAAGGTCCTTCACATGACCTTGGTCCTTCACATGGCCCCTTGGTGCTCCTCCACGTGGCTTCTCACCCTGAAGCCTGAACCAGCTTACACAGGGGACAGTCTCGGGCCACACGCCAAGAAGTTGATGTCAAAGCTGCAAGGTGTCCTGAGACCTGGGCTCTAAAGCCCACGTGATGTCCTTTTTGCCACATTCTCTTGGACAAAGCAAGGCCCGGGGCCAGCCCAGATCCTCAGGATGGGGAAACAGACTCCATCTCTTCGTGGGAGGAGCACCGAGAAAGGTGTGGCTGCATTTAATCTCCCACGTGTGCCCCGTCAGGATGCATGGGAACACCCTGCACCCCCTGGCAGGCCCCTATCTGCCTCTCTCTGATGCCAAGCCCTCCTTGTGCACAACCAGAAGTAGAATTTTTGTATCAAAGGAACATAGGAGCAGTCCATTTGGAAGAGGGTTGTTTTCAAACTGATTGTAAAACAAAGTTTTTCTTTTATTGAGATATATTTACATGCAGAAAAAATCCACTTTTTTCCCTCTGAGTTTTGACAAATGCATGCAGTGGCACTACTACCACCACAGTCATGCCCCTTGCAGCCAATTCCACCCCACCCTCCTGATCCTGGCTGCCACAGACCTGTCTTCTGTCCCTATAGTTTTGCCTTTTCCAGAATGTCATATAAATGGAATCATACTACTACGGTTTGCATGCGTTCCCCAAAGTTTGTGTGTGTTGGAAACTTAATCTTCAATGCAACAATGTTGAGAGGTGGAACCTTTAAGAGGTGGTTAATGTCTTTATCTCAGGAGTGGTTTCATTATGGAGAGAGTGGGTTTGTTATAAAAGCAAGGTCAGCCCTCTCTTTTACTCTCTTGCCCTCCCACCTTCTGCCACGATGACACAGTTAGAAGGCCCTTGCCAGATGCTGGCACTGTGCTCTTGGACTTCCCAGCCTCCAGAACCATGAGCCAATAAATTTCTATTCTTTATAAATTACCCAGTCTTGGGTGTTATAGCAACACAAACAAGATAAGACATTCTTTGGTGAACCGTCTGTTCATATTTTTTTAATACATTTTTTGAAAGGGTTCTCTGTTTTGTTATTATTGAGTTTTAAGAATCAATGAAGTCCAATTTACCAATATTTTCTTCCATAGGTAGGCCTTTTGATGTTGTATTTAAGAAATCTTTGCCTAACCGAAGGTCATAAAGATTTCTCCTGTTTTCTTCTATAAGCTTTTTACCTTTTGGTTGTACATATAGATTCTATGATCCTTTTTGACATTTGGGGGAGTATAAAATGTGAGATATGGATTGAAGTTTACTTGTTCTGCATATGGATGTTCAATTGTTCTGGTATCACTCTTTGAAAAATTCATTGCAGAGCAAATTCATCTGGATTGTTTGAATGTTTGGAGAGCAATGACAGAAATTATTGCTGGATAGGGCTAAAGTGCCCTCATGCTCCGTCCTCAGCACCAGGCCTTGGATTCCCACCCTACCCAAAGGCACGAGGCAGTCACGCAGGTCCTGTCAAAGGGACAGTCATCCACAAAGACCTTTCCATCTTTGTGTGGTTACAGTTTAACACCTTAAATGAAAATGAGATTATTTTATAACCACTGAGGGTTTGAATGTTACTCCAAACCCTCAGTGTGTGAACACGACCTTTATTGTCAAATATTTAATGAGTAAGAACCACTGGCGACCTCTAAAACTCCCTTGATGTGGACAGGGTCGTGGGGAGGTGCTGAGACACGTTCCGCAGGGCAGGAAGCAGCCTGGCCTAGAGGGTCTTCCTAGCGGAGTGCAGGAAGGAGAGGGTAGGATTTGTTCCAGGCCCCCACGCCCAGCCTGGTGGCGTGGGGCTCGCTGTCCTGTGCACGCAGCTCGTGTCTTGCTCACCATAGTGTAGCCACGGTGGCTCTGCTTGCCCTTTGTTCCAGCCATTCTTCTTCTGGGACTTGTATCCTGAGGAAATAGCCAAGCAAGTGGGCGAAACAGGGTTCCACGGCTTTGTTTAAGATGGCAGAGAACTGCAAGCAACCCGAGTGTCCAACAGTGGATTGAATGTACTCTGGGCTCACTTTCAGAGCGGAATGCTATGTAGCTATTTAAGGGGTGATGCAAAGGTCCGTCCTGTGCTCAGGAGAGTGGAATACCATAGCGTGAGAAATATGGGTTACAGGACAGCACATTTGTGCAATGGAGGCATTTTTGGTGAATATTAGATGTTTATGTAAGCATATATGTTTTGTTGTCGACTTTAACACCTGAGGAGCCAGTTCTGTCTGTAACCATCCTCTAATACTTGCAACTGTAGTGTCTGGGTTTGATTTGACTTTTTTTTTCTTTTTTGAGACAAAGTCTCACTATGTCACCTGGGCTAGAGTGCCATGGCATCAGCCTAGCTCACAGCAACCTCAAACTCCTGGACTCACGCCATCCTCCTGCCTCAGCCTCCCCGAGTGCTGGGACTACAGGCATGTGTCACTATGCCTGGCTAATTTTTTCTAATTTTAGTAGAGACAGGGTCTCACTCTTGCTGTGGCTGGTCTCAAACTCCTGACCTCAAGTGATCCTCCCGCCTCGGCCTCCCAGAGAGCTAGGGTTATAGGCGTGAGCCACTGTGCCCGGCCTGGGTTTGGTTTTAGTCACAAGTCCTCCCCCCTTTTCCCACTGGACATTCTGTCAGGTCCACTGCCAAGGAGCCAGCAGCTGAGGGAAGGATGGGCAAGGGGCTTCCACCAGGGGAAGAGGGCCCACAGGAGAAGCAGCAGGTCAGCTTCTGTGGGGCGGGTGTGGGGTCCCTGCCACAGCTGCCTGCCTCCGCCCGTATGTCTGGCAGTGGGGAGGGCTTCCTTAGCTCCATGCACTCTCCCTGGCTCCCCGCCGTCACCAAGGGCACTTGTCTGCAGGTGGTTCCTTGGGTGCCAGTGGGTTTGAGATTTTTATTAGTCATAGTTCCCTTGGTCAAAATGGAAATTTAAGCTGAAGGCCCCTGGGTAAATCAGACCCACATAGAGGTGCTACTCGAAAGGAGAAGGTGCCCTGGAGCTCTGTCTATTGGGGACCTTATTGCCTCCCAAAATATATACTCGAAGCCCCTGATTCATCTCAGAAGATGTCAGGCCTGCGGGAATACTGGGGGCCCTGGACCATTATGAGACAGCTGAAGTTCCTCTGCCCACGTGGTCCCTCAAGGGCAGGGAGCGGGGTTGCTACTCTCGCAGCCCACACCCATACTCAGGGCCTGGCCCAGAGTAAGTGCTTAGGAAATGGCTCTTTCATATGCTGCCTCACGTGGGGACACCATCAGGGCTGTGCACAAAGCCCAAAGGACGTGCGTAGAGGTGGACAGCTGAATGGACAGGTTCAGGTGTGATGTTCAAAATATTTAATGACTCAGTGGTCCTGGCCATGGCCAACCATGAGTTTCTGAAATGGAAGATGGAATGGGGGTTTTCGCAGAGGCTGGGGCAGCATGGGCATTGAGGAAGGCACTCAAGGAGCTCGGGGCAGTGGCAGTCTACCACCCAGGGTGGACATATTTAAAGTTTTAACAACTGACATGGCTGTATGTCATCCATGGATGAATGGACAGACAGATGGATGAATAGAAAGATAAAAAGATAGAAGAATGGATGGATGGATGGCAAGAAGGAAGGATAGATGGATGGATGGATGGAGGGATGGAGGGATAAGATGGATGGATGTAAGGATGGAGAAATGGATGTATAGGAAGGAGGATGGATGGATGATGGATGATGGTTGGAAAGATGGAAGTAAAATGGATGGATGAATGGTAGGAAAGAAGGATGGATGGAGAGAGGCAGAGATAAGATGGATGGATGTAAGGATGGAGAAATGGATGTATAGGAAGAAGGATGGATGGATGAATGATGGATCAAAGATGGAAGCAAAATGGATGGATGAATGGTAGACAGTTGGATGAGAGGAATGGTAGAGGGATGGATGTGTGGAAAGGCAGAAGAATGTACAGGAGGAAAGGTAGGAGGATGCAAAGTGGAAATCAGGATGGATGGAAGGGCATTTGCGCGGTGGTTGGGTGGGTGGCAGGGGAAAGCCCATCGGTAAAGGCCTGGCTCTCAGCTCTGCATGCCCACAGGTAGTTTCCTCATCCCCTACCTCATCATGCTCGTCGTGGAGGGGATGCCACTCCTGTACATGGAACTGGCGGTGGGGCAGCGTATGCGGCAGGGCAGCATCGGCGCCTGGAGGACCATCAGCCCCTACCTCGGCGGTGTCGGTAGGTGGGGCCCCCTCCAGTCCCCTCCCACCCAGCGACCCCCCCTTCCCCGCACTGTATCCTGGGCAGCCTGGTGGGGTGCGGGGAGCCCATCAGCAAAGCTGCGGGATCAAGGGGCAAGCATGAAGCCAGAGAGAGCCCTTGCCTGGGGAGGACACATGTCCCAGGAGGGGTGCCATAGAATGCGGGCCGAGGGGGCTGGGTCTCTCGCATCAGGGCGCTGAGACAGGAAGGATGCATGCCCCTGGGGAGCTGATGCCACATTGCCTCTCTTCGCTGGACTTCGGCTTGGTCATCTGTAAAGGAGAAATAGCTGCAACTCCAAGTCCCAGCTAACAACCATTCTGGAAACTCACATAACCGCGCCCTGCCAATTAACAGCTCTCTCTCTCTCTCTCTTTTTTTTTCTTTTTTTGAGACAGAGTCTTGCTTTGTTGCCCAGGCTACAGTGAGTGCTGTGGCGTCAGCCTAGCTCACAGCAACCTCAAACTCCGGGCTCAAGCAATCCTCCTGCCTCAGCCTCCCAAGTAGCTGGGACTACAGGCACATGCCACCAGGCCCGGCTAATTTTTTCTATATATTTTTAGTTAGCCAATTAATTTCTTTCTATTTGTAGTAGAGATGGGGTCTCGCTCTTGCTCAGGCTGGTTTTGAACTCCTGAACTTGAGCGATCCGCCCGCCTCGGCCTCCCAGAGAGCTAGGATTACAGGCGTGAGCCACTGCGCCCGGCCAACACCTCTCTTTTAACGTGTCCAGTGGCCTCATAAATCGTTTCCAAACCCAAACTGCCTCCCCATCTTGAATAGCTATTAATTTTTAACACGGCAGCGTGTGGTTTTACAGTCTGCCTGAATAAGCAACCGCGGGGGACTCCTCAGAGGCAGCGTTTGCCATGTGGTAGGAAAGATACCAGATGCCTGTGCCCGTCGCAGAGGTGCCATGCTGGCAAGTGCTTAACAACCGGCTCTCAGAGTGGGGCAGAGGAGAGGGAAGCCTGGATTGTAGACAGCGGTGGTGTAAACACGCCCACCGTGGGCAGTTGCAAACTACGAAGAGATGTCCCGGCGTGTGGGCTGTCGCTTGAGGGCTGGTGTGGGCCGGCTCCATTCGTGGAGGCCTGACCCCATCAGGGGCCACCGCAACCTCGCCAGTCCTCAGCCCCTCCCCCCCCACCCCTGCGCCCTGCTGCCTCAGGGCAGGATTGGGCCCAAGTGACTCAACCACAGGTGAGCCAAGGAGGGAGCCGCTGTCTGTCTGGCAGGAGGGCAGCGGTGACAAAGTGCTTCTCCTACGAGCTGTGGATCCTGGTTCCGACCCTTACCAGCTGGGTGGTTGGGGCGAGCTCTGTGCCTCAGTCTTCTCCCCTGTGAAATGGGGACACTGCCGATGTAAGGACCAAAGGCACGTGAAGTACTAGCTTAGCGCGGTAGTTACTTCCCCGGCACTTAGATCTCAAAACAGCGTCAGCAGCCTCATGTCCCGGAAGATGAGAGAAAGGCTGGGGAAAAGAGAGAACCCTTATGAGGTGGGTGGTCACGTTTACTCATGCACACCTGGTGAAGGGAGGTCTCGCTGTCCCCTGGGAGCACACACTGGCCGGGGCCACCGCCCCCTCGCCCAGGCGGGGCGGGAAGGGGCCGCTCCTCAGCGCCGCCCTCTGCTTCCTCGCAGGGGTCGCCAGCGTGCTGGTCTCCTTCTTCCTCTCCATGTACTACAACGTCATCAACGCCTGGGCCTTCTGGTACCTCTTCCACTCCTTCCAGGTGAGCGGGGCTGGGGCGGGAAAGGGACAGCAAATCAGGGCCACCTGCCGGTGGAGGGGAGGAGTTCAGGGCGACAGCCTCAGGGGAGCCAGTGGTATGAGGGGCTGGGGTAGGCCTGCCGCAGGGCCCCTCGCTCTGTGGGCCAGATCGTGCCGGTATGCGCGTGTGTAAGCGTGTGTAAGCGTGTGTAAGCGTGTGCGTGCACATTTCTGGGCAGCAGGTCCATGCCTTTCATTGCGTTCTCTCTGAAAGATGTGGCCCCCCAAAATATTAAGAACCACTGCAATGCGGGCATGGAGGAGATCTGCGGGGAGACTGCGGGGACAGCCTCCACCTGCCCAGCAGGACAATGCAGACGCCTCCTCCTCCTCCTCCTCCTCGCCAGCCACTGCCCTGATGCCTGCAAGGTCACCAGTCCTCCAGGTTTCTGAGTCCAGGCTGAGTCCCTCCTCTTCCTGCAGACCCCACAGTTCTCCTAGAAGGACCGTTGTCACCCTGTAACACAACAGGGGCTATTCCCAAAGACAAACATTTTAAACCATGCATTGCTGATTGTAGCCATGGCTGCTACTTGTAGAAAATGTGGAAGGGGCTGGAAATTGTAGAGAAGGAAGAGAGGCCCCCAATTCCACACCGAAAGCCGGTGTTGTATCCAGGACAAGAGGAACTTTCCTCTCCCCCGCCCACGCTCCTTTCTCTTCCCGGCTCCTGCCTCTCCACTCTCAGGGCCCATCCTTCCCCCACTCGCCTTCTGGGAGCCACTCCCTCCTGGCTCCTTCCCAGGTGGGAAAAAATGAGGTGACACAAGCTAACCAGGCCAATGCTTTATCTTTTGCCCCTGGGCCATGACCTGTCCCCAAGGTCCAAAAGCAAGGCAGGGCTGGCTGTGGACTATGGACTGACCCCCATTTGCCTCTGGCGTGCTTGGGTATCGCACAGCCTTGACTCTTTGGGCCCTAAGGAACGCTTGGGCGAATGCCTCCAGTAATCCTGACTTGGCATCTACACTTGGAAGGTGCTACATCCACACCCTTTTCTGGCTTCCCAGTGAGCCCCACCCAAGTTGCCCTCTTGCACACATCCCTGGCGGAAGGATTCTCTCCTCTGAGCTTAGCTGCATGGAACTCCCTAGCGTTCTACGAAGACTGGCCACAACGCTGCCTCTCCCCAGCCTTCTGGGTAGAAATGGGGTGGCCCTTCTTACTCTAAAGCCTGGGGACTGTTTCCCCTCCTCTGAGCTTGGCGGTCAAGCCTGGTTGGGCAGGTTGTGGACTGCACAATGGCATCACCAATTGAGGGCTTGCCATATATACTGTAGGCATTGTAGATTTTATACTTATTAAGACAAGTTTTGAAAGATGGAAGCAATGTGTCTTGTCTTAACAAGATCATAGTAATTTGAACATCTCCCAAATGTGAAAATAAAGTGCCTCAAGGAAGGAGCACCTTTATCTGATCCTCGGGAGTGTGAGGGCCAACAACTCCTGAAAATTACTTGATTATTCATTGATTCCATCCTTCACAGGTCTGTAGACTTCTCCCTGAGTCCCTCTGCTTTGAAGGGTAGAGGGCAGTAATACCAGTGGCAGACAGTCACTTGGACTTGCTCTGGGCCAGACACAGTGCCCAGCACTTTCAGATGTTCACTGCTATAAGCATCACGACCACCCCGTGAGGCTGGGTGTACCGAGGACCTGAGCAGAGGGGACTTAGGCAGCTTGTGGCTGTGGGATCAGACCCAGGCACCTGGCCCTGGAGTCTGTGCTCCTGCCCAGCCCACTCCCAGGCCAAGCTTTCCAGCCTCTTGTCGGGCCCTTCCCAGCAGGAGCACCTGGGCTGTCACACATGCAGACGCACCTGCTGATTCGGAGGAGGGTGAGGGAGAACGGCCTGGGAATTGGTCCATTAACAAGCTCTTCTGTATTCTAAAGCTTCTTCGCCTTGGCAGCACACCCAGGGGGAGCTTTAGAAAATCTGATGCCCAGACCCCACCCCAAACACAAAGTCAGAGTCCCTGGAGGTGCAGCCTGGGTGATTCTGTTGTGTAGCTGGCGCTGGGAACCAGGCCAGGCTGGGCTGGCATCAGCAGGTAGTTCAGTGAGTGAGTGAGCCCAGGTCAGTCCTGCACGGGCTGCAAATGGCCCAAGGGGTGTCAGCCGGGGCAGCTCCACTGGGCACAGGTCTATAAGGGTCCCTCTCACCTAACTGGGATTTAGTGGTGGCTGCCACTGGGCACCTAAGTTCTCTCCACGTGGCCTCTCTGTCCATGCACCCTCATCATTTGGGAGGCTATGGCTCACATGTCTCCACGGGACAGCTGGCTTCCCAGAGGGTGAGAAGGCAGCTGTAGGGCTCTGGAGACCTGGGCCAGGAAGCCACACAGCCTTTCTTCACTGTGTTCTGGTGGTCAGCGCATGTCACAGGCCAGCCCAGACTCACTCCCTCTGCATGGGAGAAACTGCACGTGCACATGGGGAGGGGACACATTATTGGTGGCCAGCTTTGGACACAATCTGAGTCAAAGCCAGAAACCTGCTGTCACTTTCCAACAAGGAAGGGTGGCCCTGGCACAGCCGAGGTCTCACCCCACAGAGAGGCAGTCCCGAGCACTGTGCAGGTGTGCTGAGCTGGGCCCCAGCTGCTCACAGGTAGGGTGGCCATGACCCATCAGGTAGTGCCACTGGGCCTCAGTTCTGTTTCCTGAGAGATAAGGGATTGGGCACCGTGGTGTGGTCAGACTTCTTGCTTCTGCAGTGGAGCTCTTCTGTCTAATGCCATCTGAGCTTGTAGAACCCAGACACGTGCCAAACTGATCCATGTGGGGCTGGTCTTGGCACAGCAGCACTGGGGCCTCCATCCCCCAAGTCAGAATTAATTTTAATTTTCCTCCCCCACTTCCCTCCCCCTAGCCTAGCACTGCTATTGAGCACTTGGCCTTGGGTCATGTTGTACATGTGCCTTGGAGGCTCCTTTGCTCTTATGGGACAGAGAACCCAGTTGAAAGCAGGCAGGGGCCTCACTGGCTTTACCTGCTGAGTCCAGGGGTCGAACTCGGATGGAGTCACCAGCACCAGGTTCTCTGGCTCAGCTGGGCAAGATGGCTTCAGGGAATGAGCTTCATCTCCTTCCAACTCCCAGCCCAGTGTCCGTCAGAGGAAATGCCAGTCTCCACTGGCAGTTACTGAGGGCTGTACCCAAGCCCTAGTCATCCCCGGACTGGCTGGGAACTTGTGGAAATAAACAAAGCCCACCCCACTGAGAACAGGCTGAGGCGATGTGTTCAGTGCTCGCCATGGCGAGGGAGGGCCACCATCCCTTGTGCCCCGCAGAGGCTCTGAGGCTTCTCAGTGGTGATGGGGACAGCTCCAGGTGTGTCCTGCTCGGAGGCTGCTGGCAGGGGAAGCCGTGAGTGGCTCATGAGTAGTGGGACATCCGATGTGATTGGGTAGGGGGTATATTTAGTTTTCTCTGGTGTGTCCTGAGTTGGCAAGAAACAGGGACTCTATCGGGCATTGGCCAGGTCCTGACCATTGGCGGCCAACACTGCAGAGGCTGTGGTTTGCGCTCCCGGGCTGGTTGCTGCAGACATTGTCGGTCAGAGTTCTGTTGTCCTATCTGGTCTGGCCATTGTCCCCTCGAGACTGTCTCTTAGACCCACCGCAGAGTTCAGTAGTCCATGGCAAGCCCCTGTAGAATTGCAATGAGAGTAGACCCCCCCAAACTCTCTGACTCTCCTTCTGCCTTCAGGGGCTCCAGCCGCCTGCCCTTTGGGGACCAGCGCCCTTGTCTTGCAAGAGCCTCCTGGCAGGGCCACCCCCATCACCACCACCCGACTTTTGGGCCTCAGCCCTCACTTCCATGCGATGTCTGTTTTGGTCCCCAGAACCCCCTGCCGTGGTCTGTCTGTCCCCTGAACGGCAACCGCACGGGCTACGACGCGGAGTGCGAGGCGGCCTCCTCCACGCAGTACTTCTGGTACAGGAAGACGCTCAACATCTCGCCGTCCATCCAGGAGAGCGGGGCCGTGCAGTGGGAGCCGGCGCTGTGCCTCATCCTGGCCTGGCTCGTGGTGTACCTGTGCATCCTGCGGGGCACCGAGTCCACCGGCAAGGTGGGGCCGCGGGGCCGGGGCGGGGGGAGGGTGTGGGGCGCTGTGGCTGGGGGGGGCAAGCAGCCCCCTCGGTCTCGGGCCCTGGCAGTGCCAAGGGGGGACCTTCTGCAGTCGGGGGCCAGAAGCTGTGCTGGGGCAGAGGGCTCAGCCAGTGCTGCCAGCACAAATCACCTACCAGGTGACCCTAACGATGGCCAGAGGTGCTTGAAGTTGCAACTCTCAATCCCGAAACGAGGGCTTTCTCACTAAAGAAGAGCGTTTCTGTACCAGCTGGTGGCAAATCCCTGCCAGGCAAGCAGCCAGCCAGTGGGTTTCCCTTGTTTAAGCCTTTGAATGACCGCGCACGGCCCCACCCGCTCCCGCCAGCTGAGCGCTGGGAGGGTAGAAGCTCGCCAGGTGACTCTGTGCAGGTGACTCAGTGCAGCTCAGCTCGGTTTGAGACCTTTGCTCGAGCTGCTTCCAACGTGGATCTGCCGGGCCAAGCTTCGTAACCCTTTTCTTCTTGGTGCGTCCTCGGGTTCCTGTTCCCACTTGGGCTGGCGTATTTCTTTAACTCTAGCCTGTCCACGCAGAAGGCTTGCTGTGAGTGTTCCCAGCACCGGCCACCTGACTCCAGCTTGAGCAGATGCCCGGCCACCCAGCGTGCCCTGTCTCCTACAGTCACTGCTCCTACAGTTCCCCCGTGACCTGGGCACCCCACACCGTCTCATTCCAGCAACAGCCCTTCATGGTAGATTTCATGGTCCCACTCACCTGAGGCTAGACGGGCAAAGTGACCTGCTTCACGTCACGGCTAGTGAGGAAAGAACAGGGCAGGGCGCAGCGTCACCCCAAGACTCCCCACTGTCTTGGTTCGGTGAGCCACCTCCTGTGTGCTCTCTGCACACCTTTTGTGACTTCATCAACCCCAGCTTTTCCTTGCCAAAAGCCCTAAGAGTCCACCTGTCCTCACACTTTTGGCTACCTGAGTTGCCACCATGTCTTTCTTGAGGCATTAGACCAGAAATACCCACGGTATTCCAGACACCAAGTGACAACCCCAGCATCAAGCCCAGTGGGACATTTTATTTTGGTTTCCCAGACCCCGTGACGCCCAGCATCTTAGCCCCAAGAGCATCCCACGCCATGGCTGAGCTGAGGGACCAGTGAACATGGGGACTCTTTCCTGGGACAGCTTAGAACCTGCAGCAACTGGCTCTGTCACATCGTAAGAGCTTAGCCGACACTTCCATGCTCATAAAAAATGCTTTTGTGATTTATCTTTGCCAGATTATTACGAGCAGGATCCAAAGTATCTGAGGGTAACATGTGCAATTTTAGAGATTTAACGAGATAATTCCTTTTCCTGACCACTTACAAATGTGTTACATGAGACCCTGTCATGCCATGAAAGCTTATTTATCTCACCTGTTCCTACGGTCCCCGTCCTCTGCTTCAGCCCCTTCCTCTAGGAGTGCCCCAACAGCTCTGTGACATGGGAGCAATCTCGCCAGGGGCTGTGTGCCATTTCCTGGCCTCCTCTGTTGCAGTCTCCTTTCTTTCCTCCCGGAATTTCTCTGGAGGGTCAGACATGGTTTCTTGCCATAGGTTAGCCTGGACCACGTGTCCCGCAATCCTGCCTACTTGACTGGGGGGAAGTGAGGCACCCCGGCCGGGACTCCAGAGGGCTTACCTGGGGACAGGAGGGAATTCCAGGAACTTGCCCCGAGTGCCTGCCAAGTGCCCACTGCTGTGCACAGTGGCCACCCCTCCTCCCCTCGGCCCTTGCCCCTCAGGTCGCCGGCCAGGTGCCCTGTTTGCTCCGTTATCCACCTCCATCTCGTGCCTGGCTGGTTTCCTTATAATCAGGGGTGGATTTATGACCCTTCTCAAGTTACAGCACCTCAGAGTGTTGTAACTCTGAGGTGAGAGGGCACAGAGTGCCAGGGTGGTGGCCTTAGGGATCCAAGGGAGGGTGGGGCCATGCCTCAGCAGTCCATGGAGGGCCTAGGGTAATTCCAGCCTTTCTGGACACAGGTCCCCAGCTGCTTGTGTCCCCAGGAGAACACAAACGTTGAGGGAACACACACAGAGAGCAATCTTGCAAAATATTTCTTTGCTTTACATATGAGAAAATTCCGGTCCTGGGTGGGCATACATGCACATGAAGGCCTCTCTTCTAAGGCTTTGTAAAAGTTATAATGACCCAGAGCCTGACAGTCTGCTGCCAAGGCTACCACGGAAACCGAAGATAAAACACCATTGAACTTGTGCGTGTCAGCGGGGAAAGATTTGGCTGACAAAAAAAGTCACTTGTTTGCAGGTATCTGCGCTTCCTGCTTTGCTTAGGCCACTAGGAAGCTCAGAAACTGGGTAGAAACTCACGCCCTGTTCTGTGGGCTACTGGTTTCTTTGGGTTCTGGATTGCCCACATTTTCTCTTCAGACTGATTTCTTTATCTAGCAATTTAAAATGTTAATGTGACTGATTCATTTTTGTGGGCACCCTCAAATTCCTTCTGGAATAAGGTGGAGTGGAAGGAGGGGTGAGGGCAGAGGCTTGGGGCCTGCTTTGCCTCTTCTCTACTGAACGAGAGACCTCCTGGTGGTCACAGATGTGGGCGCCACAACCCACAGCGCTTTCTCCAGCGCCAGCTCAGAACCTGTGTGGGCCCGAGAATCCCTCTGCCTTCTCCAGCTGCTGGCCGCTGGCTGGTGCAGCCTGAATAGCCCAGGCATGGGCCGGTCGCTCCAGGAGACTGATGCTGCCCTCTGGCGCCCCCAGGTGGTGTATTTCACCGCGTTGCTGCCCTACTGCGTGCTCATCATCTACCTGGGCCGGGGCCTCACGCTCCACGGAGCCACCAATGGCCTGATATACATGTTCACTCCCAAGGTACGAGCTGGGGGGCCAGCCTCTCCTGCATCCTGCCACCTTTCGGGATGGGGTGGGATGAGGGGAGGACAGAGAGTGGGCAGGGAGGCTGGTGTGAGCCCACCAGGCTGTGGCAGGGGCTGTGGATTACCTGTGGGCCCTGGATCACCCCCTTACCCAGGCAGTCCCCACTCCCGGCTGATGCTGGGGCATGAAGTCTCTTCCAGCCCCTCCTCCCCATCCTCGCTGCCCTGAACTGACTGCCGCCCCGGCCTCACCCCCGGCCCCTCCCAGACTGCGGAGGGAGCTCTCTGCCCTGGCCATGTCACTGGCCTGCCCAGGCCACCCCGTGCAGCCCTCTCCCTGCAGGGGTTTCCACGCACCCCGCCTGCCACCCACCCCCAGCCCACCTCTGAACGCCCAGCCCCGCGCCTGCCCGCCTGCTCATGCATTAGGGGCTTGGCGCCTCTTGGAACTATGCCGCGTCGTGCACTGTTGGGGTGCGGGGTTCGGTGAGCCAGGCGCGGTGGGGGTGTGTGGTGAGGCCGCCCATGTCTCCCCTCTCTGGGCCGCCCTCCCTATGGGACCCCGCCCAGGCTCCTCAGCCCTGTCCCTGCCGGCTCCAGGTGGAGCAGCTGGCCAACCCGCGGACCTGGATCAACGCGGCCACCCAGATCTTCTTCTCGCTCGGCCTGGGCTTCGGCAGCCTCATCGCCTTCGCCAGCTACAACGAGCCCTCCAACGACTGCCAGAAGCACGCCATCATCGTGTCCCTCATCAACAGCGCCACCTCCATATTCGCCAGCATCGTGACCTTCTCCATCTACGGCTTCAAGGCCACCTTCAACTATGAAAACTGCTTGAACAAGTAAGCCTGGGCTGGCCCGCTGGCCCAGGCGCCCCGGGGCTCTGCGCTGAAGGGGCGCCGGGGAAGAGGCGGGTGCCCAGCAGGCAAGGGCTGGCCCGGGCCACCAGTTTGAGATTCCCCGGCGCAGGGCTCAGACTCGGGCTCCCCCGCAGGGAGGAGGGCACTGGGGCCGTTCAAAGCACTCAGATGACGGGGGCCCTTAGTTTCTCTTTCCCCATCTCCCCTACCGAAAAAGAGCCCAAGAGCTCCGTAGCTGAGCCACAGAGATTACGGAATTCACTTTCTGTGGCCCTTTACCCAGAACACAAAACACGATCCAGAAGCTACGGCTGTCCAATTTGGTGGTCACTAAGCCGCAAGTGGCTATTTACAAATTTGAATTTAGGGCCGGGTGCGGTGGCTCACACCTGTAATCCTAGCACTCTGGGAGACTGAGGCCGGAGGATTGCTCGAGGTCAGGAGTTCGAAACCAGCCCAAGCAAGAGCGAGACCCCGTCTCTACTATAAATAGAAAGAAATTAATCGGCCAACTAATATACATATATATACAAAATTAGTGGGGCATAGTGGCGCATGCCTGTAGTCCCAGCTACTCGGGAGGCTGAGGCAGGAGGATTGCTTGAGCCCAGGAGTGTGAGGTTGCTGTGAGCTAGGCTGACGCCACGGCACTCACTCTAGCCTGGGCAACAAAGCGAGACTCTGTCTCAAAAACCAAAACAAAACAAAACAAAAAACAAATTTGAATTTAAATTAATGTAACTTATTTATCTTTAAATAAACATACATCTTACTCCAAGTCAGTTCCTCAGTTGCACTAGCCTCATTCAAGTGCTTAGTCACCACATGTGGCCAGTGGGTACCAAAAAGGGACAGCCCAAATGTAGAACATTTCCATCATCACAGAAAGTTCCGATGGATTATGCCGGTGCAGAGGTTAAAACGGCCCAGCTGCGTCTGGTTCTTGCTGTCGTCACTGTTCGTATCTCAGGCATCTTCAAAACCGTTCAAAATGACCCTGTCCTTTAAAAAGGTCACCAAGCAGCAGATTCCCTTTCCGGACATGGTCAGGAAAGGAGAGAGGCTGGCGGGAGGCTTCGGTGACGGCAGTCTTTCTGGTCAGTGAGGGTCGGTCCGATGGTCTGCTCTGCAGGATGATTCTGCTGCTCACCAATTCTTTTGACCTTGAAGACGGCTTTTTGACAGCCAGCAACCTGGAGCAGGTGAAGGACCACCTAGCGTCTGCCTACCCAAGCAAATACAGTGAGGTGCTCCCATACATTAAAAACTGCAGCTTGGAATCGGAGCTAGACACGGTAAGGCACACTGGTGAGGTCGCGGGCTTGCTTCCCTCCATGCACTCGTAGGGACTTTGGAGGGCTGCCACCTGGGCCACACGCACGGCCTGTGGGCATCCAGGAAGGTGCATTCGCCCCGTGCCTCTGAGGACAGTGACTTCACCACCACGCTCCCCAGGTGCTGCTTGGGAGTCCTGGTTATTATGAAGTCTCTTTAGATTCTCTGTGTCCTTTCTTGCTTTCCCTTTTCTCTTTTTCAGCTGTAAAAACACAGGAAAGTACAGAGAATAAACATAACAAATACCCATATATCCACCACTCAGAATGAACAATTATAAACACTTTGTCATTTTGAGTCCAGATTTCTTTTTTTTTTTTTTTATGTAAAAGCAAAGAACATTTCAGGGACAAAGTTTAAGTTCCCTTTATTACTGGCCCCAAGTTTTCCCTACTCACCAGAGGCAAGAGCCTTCATTTTGGCGTTTTTCTTGCCCATATATGTATTCTCAAATGATATCATTGTTTTGTTGGCAGTATTTACATGGACATAAGTGACCCCAGATGATATTTTTCTCATTTAACATTTTGAGATCTGTCCCTAATAATACATGTGGAATCCCATTCATTCATTTTAGGTGCCACATTTTATTCTATCACACGAATATACCACAATTTATTTATCCATTTCCTTACTAACAGAAATTTGCTACTAAAATCATCCTTATTTATATATTACATAATTATCTCTGCTATACTGGGACCTTTATTTTTTCACATTAATTTTAGATCAATTTGACAAGTGTCACTTGGGAAAAAATCCTCTAGGGAATTTTTATTAGATTTGCATTGATTTTATAGTGTAATTTGGGAAGAATTAGTATCTTCTGAGTTGTAACTTCTGATTCAGTAACGTGCTTTCTCTCATTCACTCTGATCTTTTTTTATATTCTTCAACTAATTTTCTCCATGAATATCTTGGCACATTGTTTATTAGATTTATATTACCTTTTTTTTTTTTTTTGCTATTGTGAATTATGTCTTTTTTCCCCTCATTTCTATCATTGCTTATTTTTGTTGCAAAAAAAAAAAAAAAAAAGCTAAGGTTATTGTATGTTGATCTTGTATCTAGCAACCTTGATAAATTCTCCTATTAATTCTCATATTTGTCTATACATTTGCTTCGGTTTTCTATGAAAGCTATCATATCACCTGCAGATAGAATTTTGTATTTTTCTTTTCAATGCTTGTATCTTCTTTTTTCTCATCGTATTTACTAGGACTTCTAGCACATGAAAGTGAAAGTGATAGGGCATATTTGTCTAATTCTTTTTTTGAGACAGAGTCTCGCTTTGTTGCCCAGGCTACAGTGAGTGCTGTGTCGTCAGCCTAGCTCACAGCAACCTCAAACTCCTGGGCTCAAGTGATCCTCCTGCCTCAGCCTCCCAAGTAGCTGGGACTACAGGCATGTGCCACCATGCCCGGCTAATTTTTTGTATATATATTAGTTGGCCAATTAATTTCTTTCTATTTATAGTAGAGACGGGGTCTTGCTCTTGCTCAGGTTGGTTTTGAACTCCTGAGCTCAAACGATCCGGCCACCTCAGCCTCCCAGAGAGCTAGGATTACAGGCGTGAGCCACCGCGCCCGGCCTTGTCTAATTCTTATATTTAATGTAAATACTTCTAGAGAATGCTCTTAGAGAATAGTTTTCAAGGACAGGAAATAGGGAGGGCCTGTGGCTCTGGGTGCCAGCAAGCCACTTTGGAGGTTGGTGTTCTGGGTTGATTGGCTGTGTTTCTGGCAGTTTGTTTCCTGGGTGGAGCTATTCTATGTCATTTAGTGGGGGAAGCAACATTTTGTTTCTCCTGGTTGTTCAACCCCAGCTTCATGCTTACACTGGCCGGTGGCATGAGCCCTCTCTCTGGGAAGGCATCAGCCCCCAGTCCCTAACCCCCAGCCTTCAAGGCCTAGATCCTGTTCAGATGACCCATGAGACCTTTTGGCTTCAGCGCCTGTTCAGTGCTCTCACTCCCAGTTTGCTTTTTGGTTTTGGAACTTGGGAGTTTTCCTCACTTACTTTGGAGTTTGGTTCCACGTCCAAGAATTATGTGGTTGGTTATTGATTTATTTAGACCTTTCTTTTCCCCTGTTGTGTTTGTTCTATTTCTTCCTCTTCTTTTCTTTCTTTTTTTTTTTTCCTTTCCTGATTCCACTTTATTCTCTGCTATTTGGAATTTGGACACTTGATGTCACTTCTTGAAATTTTCCTACACACACTTAACAAAGTCTAAAGTCAGACAATGTCTTAACTTCCCTCCCAAACAGCACAAGGACTTTAGAACACTTTTATCTCATCTCTCCTGTTTTAAATGATTGCTGTCTAGGTCTGTCTTTTTAAACCTATAAATTGGACACTATTGCTATTTTATACAGTGTTTACATTTACCTACCTGTTTGCCATTTTATTTGTTCACCATTCCTTCTTGCATCCCAGCCACCTTCAAGGGTTTTTCCCCCTGAAATACTTTTTCTTAGAATAGCTTTCTCAGGTTTGGTTTGTATATCGATGTCTGTATTTGGTCCCCATTTTTAAGAGATATTTTTTCTCTGTTTAGAAAATTCCAGGTTAACAGTTATTTTCTCTCTCTTCAACACTTTTAAGATATTTTGCCTTGTGATTCTGGCTCCCACTGTTGCTGTTGAAATTTTCTTTCATTCTTTATAAGTGGTTCTTTCTAATTTCTCTCACAATCTCTGTCTTTGTCTCTTTGTCTTTGGCCTCTGCAGTCTAGGTGTGAATGGATTTTTATTCATCCAATGTAGGCTTGGGTGAGGTTGAACTTCCTGGATCTATGGGTCCATATTCCTTATCAGTTTTGGAAAATTCATACCTATTATCTCTTTTTGGTTTTTTTTTTTAGACCTTTGCTCGCTTTGTTGCCCAGGTTAGAGTGAGTGCCGTGGCCTCAGCCTGGCTCACAGCAACCTCAAACTCCTGGGCTCAAGCGATCCTCCTGCCTCAGTCTCCCAAGTAGCTGGGACTACAGGCATGCGCCACTATGCCTGGCTAATTTTTTCTATATATATTAGTTGGCCAATTAATTTCTTTTGATTTATAGTAGAGACGGGTCTCGCTCTTGCTTGGGCTGGTTTCGAACTCCTGACCTCGAGCAATCCTCCCACCTCGGCCTCCCAGAGTGCTAGGATTACAGGCGTGAGCCACCACGCCCAGCCCTATTATCTCTTAATCATTGCCCCTCCTTCTCTCGTTATTCTCCTTTTAGAACTTCATTTAGACCTCAGTTAGACCTTTTCATGCTATCCTGCAGGTCTCTAGCCTCTCTTTTATTTTTCACATCTTATTATCCTTTTTTGGTTGTTTCATTTTTGATTCATTCCTGGATATATCTTTCAGTCCCTAATTCTCTTTTCAACTGCATCTAATCTGATATTTAACTGTCAGCTGAGCCTTTTCATTCAATAACTACATTTTTAATTTTTAGACACTACTATTTTTTTCAAATTTACTTGTCCCTCCCAGTAGTTTCTTGTTACACGTTTATTTTTGTATAATAAATTTATCTTTTGTTTCCTTAAATACTTCGTATACTACTGTTCCAGGAGTGGCCATAGATAGGAGAATGGGAGCAATCCACCTTAGTGGAGAGGAGTATTTTATCACTGACACAGTTTAGGATTGCTGGCTCATGAGAATAACAAAAAGCATATCAATTTGTAGCAAGTTTCACTATTTTTTAAAATTCTGTACAAGTGATCACCCCGTTATTGTCTGTATCTAAGGCCAACTGTTCTCACTATGCCCCTAAGCAATTAGTATGCCATTGAGCTGACCCTATATTTTTGTATTAGTCAGCTCAGGCTGCCATAACGAAATACCATAAACTGGGTGGCTGAAACAACAGAAATTGATTTCTCCCAGTTCTGGAGGCTGATAAGTCCAAGATCAAGGTCCAGCAGGGTGTGGTTTCTGGTGAGGACCTGCTTCCTTGCTCTCGGACCGCTGTCTTCTCACTGTGTTTTCACATGATGGAGGGAGAGTTTTCTCCCTCTCTTCCTCTTCCTATAAGACCACAGTCCCATCAGACTGGGGCCCCACCTTTATGACTGCATTTAACTATAATTACCTCCTAAAGATCTTATCTCCAGATACAGTCACACTGGGGATTAGGGTTTCAACATAGGGAATTTTTGTGGACACAATTCAGTCCACGGCAATTCTGAATCTGGCAGTCCAACATGTGCCACCTTGGAGGGTGAGGTGTTCTAAATCTTCTTATTCTTGCTGGCTCTTCACTCACAGTGATGTCTCTTCTTCTGGGTTAGTAAATCCCTGTTTGTGAGCTCATTGCTTAATCTTAGTCTCTGGGAGTCCTGTGGGTCTAAACTGGAGAGCCTTCCCCCAGGGAGAGTTTGCTTTTGCTGCTCCTTCTGCTGGTAGCCTGGGAGCACCCCCAACACTTGACCCTTCTTGACTCCCTTAGGGAGTTTGTCTTTAAGGTTCAGGGCTCACTTTCCAGCAACCCTGCCCCCTTGCTTCCCTCCTCAGTTCCCAGGTCTCAGAACACCTAGTCAGTCATGACATTGGAAGCAGAAATTATCCAGACATTGGTTTATTATATTTTATCCAGAATTTATGTAAGTTGGGGAAGGAGAAGAGGACCCAGTGCTCCAGGCAGACTGAAAGTTCTGCGCATGCTTTGCACGTGTGAACTCCTGGCCGCTCCTGTTCCCATGCAGCCCGCTGAGCCCTAGGGCTGGTCCGCACATGGAGGCTGCAGCCTCAGAATGTGGCAGCCCGTGGCTAGTTCCAGGGTCACCCAAGCCGCTTAGCACCGGGTGTGTTTAAGGAGACTGTAAGTTCTTTGTGTGGGTAACTGGTGTCTTCTCGCCACGGGCAGGCCGTCCAGGGCACTGGCCTGGCTTTCATTGTCTACAGCGAGGCCATTAAGAACATGGAGGTGTCCCAGCTGTGGTCAGTGCTCTACTTTTTCATGCTGCTGATGCTGGGCATTGGGAGCATGCTGGGGAACACGGCGGCCATCCTCACCCCTCTGACTGACAGCAAGGTCATTTCCAGCCACCTGCCCAAGGAGGTCATCTCAGGTCAGTGGGCAGCCGGCAGAGGAGGCGGGGGCCGGGGAGGGCTGGGATCGGGGGTGAGCAGGGGGTGAGTTTCCTCCAGGGCCACCTGCCGGTGGATGTGGCCACAGAGGGCTGCACAACCTCACCGCAGCCCTGCCATGCCTTCTCGGAATCCGGGGACTCGGGCCGTGTCACTCACCCTGTGCCTTTTGTTGTCCACACCGCAGGGAGGCGAAGTGGCCACTCCAACCTTGGAAAGGGCCCAACTCCCCAACCTGGCACTCAAAGCCCTCCAGGATAGAAACTGCTTTTGTTTTTTGTTTGTTTTAACTGAAGCATGACCATTACGAAGTGTCCATTTCTTGAGTACAAATGCAATGAGTTTTATGTATGTATGTATTCTCCCAAGTAGCCAGACCTAGGTCAAGAGATGAAACATCCCATAGCCCACATAGCTCCTGCACCCCCCTCCCAAGCCATCTGCACTTTCGGGGGTCTCCTCTATTTTGATTTCTACATTTTATGGCTTTTTTCCTATTCTTGAACTTCATATAAATGGAACCATATAGCACATACTCTTTGTGTCTGCTGTCTTTACTCAGAATCTGTCTGTGAGGTCCACTCATGTTGTTGCAAGCAGCAATTGTCTGTCCCTTTTTCTGCCTGTGTAATAATCCATGGTGAAAGCACATACCACAGTTTCTTTATCCATTCTGCTGCTGTTGGGCATTGAGGTTGTTAAGGAATGAACTGACTTTTCCAAACATCTCTGGTGGCTTCACTCCACCACCCTTCTGGTCCTCCATTGAGGACCCTGTGGCCAACCCCCTCTGCCTTTGATGACATTATGCCTTTACATCCAGGACAAATCAAACCCAGCTCCCATCCCATCTCCTTCGAGTCCCAACTACCCCACTTGGAGCTTCCCAGCCCCGACTTCTCCAGCATCTGCTATACTTAGTTAGCATTCCTCCTTGGACCCAATCTCTGCAGCCAACACTCCGTGTGCCTGTACCCCCCGGGCCGGCACATAACCTCTTTCTCCTCGTGTGTCCCCGTCAGCATGGCAGTGGGGCTCGGTGGCTGCCAGTGTGTGGTATGGGGGGTGGAAAGGGCAGATGAGAGCTTTAGCTTCACACACTTCAGGGGGTGCCCAAGGGAGGAAGCCAAAGGACACTGGGACAAAAACCCGGGTCCAAAGTCCTGGGTGTGAATCCTGCCACTGATGTGCTCGGGGACGTTGAGGGCATTACTTGACATCTCCAAGCCTCAACTTCCCCATCTGTGCAAGGGGCCTAATGATCTGGCTCACGGCAAGTGCCTGGCATGTAGGAGGATCTGCGTGAACATTAGCTTCCTCCTGAGGAAGTCCTGGCGGGGCAGGTCGTACTCAAGCTTCCTCCCCCGATTCACATGAGCTCTGGGGCTGAGTGGTTGGGTTAGGTGGTGTCCCCAGACCCACAGCCTGGGTGGATTCCCGGGATAGCTGTGCCCACCACTTCTGCTTTCCCACTGAGCTCAGGCCCCCGCCCCTGCAGGGCAGCTCAGTGAGTTAGCATCTGTGACCCCTGCTGGCACGACTTGGGGCTCCTCTGTGTTCCCCAACGCCCACAGTATACAGACCGGCCACGCCATGACCGCCCTTCCAAGCCCTGTGGATGAACCAGTCGGCCGGAGTCCCCTTAGGGGCCTGTGGCTCCCGCCGCCCTGCAGAGCGCTGGGGACCTGGCGGGGAGCCTCAGGCAGGTCAGCCCTCGGTCTCACGGCCCCCAGGTCTGGTGTGCCTCATCAGCTGTGCCGTGGGCATGCTGTTCACCATGGAGGCCGGGAACTACTGGTTCGACATATTCAACGACTATGCGGCCACGCTGTCCCTGCTGCTCATCGTCCTGGTGGAGACGATCGCCGTGTGCTACGTGTACGGGCTCAGGAGGTGAGGAGGCCCCGGCCCGCAGCACGGGCCGCAGCCCTCGGGAGGAACATCGGCTGTCACTGTGCAGCCCCTTCTTTAGGCTCCCTGTCGTCGTTCAAATCTTCTTCTTTGCCCTCGGCTCTCAGCTAATTCTCTGCCTCGCTTCCCCCTCCCTTCGCCTCCAGCCAGCTTCCTCTGTCTCCGTCGTCTCCCATGCTTTCTCTGTGTGCCCCACGCGGGCTGTTTGCGGTTGACCCTGCGGGACTGCTGGGGCAGGAGTCAAGCCTCCAGGCACCAGATGCCCTGACCATCAGCCAACAGCGGTAGCTTTCCAGAACCGCGCCCCAAATCCACCTGATAACGGAGACAATCTGGCAAATTTGATATGTAGTCGGCCGGGTTCAGAATCCCGGTGCGCAGCACAGCCCTGGGATGTGTCAGTTCCCTCGGGGTGACAGAAGGTGCGGCTGGGCGGGAACCACCGGCCTAGAGCTGCCCCCAAACTCTGCGCGCGCCAGCAGTGCGGGGGGCTGGGGAAGCCAGACCGCCTCACACCCAGAGGCTCTGATGAAGCAGGTCGGGGAGGGCCAAGAATCTGCCAGTTCCTGGGCGAGCCTGGGGCCCACACTTTGAGAACCACTGGTGGAGAGAGTGAGCACTGCCAGTGTGGCCCCAGAGCAGCGGCTGCAGGGGGCGGGGTAGGGCAGAATCTCAGGCCACCAGAATCTCAGGCCACCTAGTCCTGCTGCGTCTGGCACTGGCGTCAACAACACGCCCAGGTGTCCGTCCGTGGCTCATCTCGGTGTGGGCAGCGCTGCTCAGATGGGAGCCTGGGCTTGGGGGAAGGGTGGCGGGCGAGGGGAGGGTGGGGCATGCCCAGGTGTTCCCCACAGTCTTCCCAGTCTTTTCTGAGCCTCCAGGCTGGCTTGGGTGTGGGGGGACGGAGTGACGACACTCTAGGAGGCAGGTGTCCCTCGAGCAGCGTTTCCCGCTGTGTCCCTGAATGGGCTATGCTGAGGGACCTCCCAGGATCAACTAATTTTAGGGCATCAGTCACAGGAAGCCAGATTGATGTCTTTCCTGTAGGACTCCTCAGAGACAGTTGTGGGTCTCAAAGAGGGGCCCGTAATTTGCAGCACTTTTGGAATTTACTTGGTCGAGGAAGGGCTTGTAATGCCCCCCTCGCCTCCCCCCTCCCCCAGCGACTCACATTTTAAGGACACTCGTGTCAGGGTGACCAACTTCCCCGGTTTCCCCAGCCCTGAAGGGTTTCTTGGGACATGGAACTTTCAGTTCTAAAACCAGGAAAACCCCTGATAAAGGGGGACAACTCGGTCCCCCTAGGCAACGCTAGTCTGGGGGGAAAGAGATCTGTCCCAAGAGAGGGCAAGTGTCTCGGGATGAGGAGAGAAGGCTGGGAGAGAGGAGTGAAACCTGGGGCCCAGGGAGGGCCCTGGAGAGGGGGCACACGTCCATCGAAAAGGGTAGGTGGGAAGTGACGGGGGTGCAGGGGAAACATCCAGTCCCCGAGAATGTACAAACCACCTCCAGGTGGCCCTGCAGGGTCCTTCAGCTTGCTTTGGGGGACACTGCCATCTAGTGGCCACTGGCCACAGCGTCCTGCCTGCTTCTCTGCATCTGGCTCTTCCCAGCTTTCTCTGCAGGAAACAGAGACAGGCGGGCGGAGGGGTGGTGATGGGACAACAGGACCCCGACACTTTCTGACCCGTGTAGTTTGAAAGCCCCGGGCTCTCACGCTGGGTAGGGGAGCCTTCACAGCCCAGAGCCCGGAGTCCCGCTACATCAGCGGCAGCAAGGCCCCGGTGGTGGTCTCTACGCAGCCTTGCACGGGACCCAGGACAGGTTAACAGGTGCCAGGGAGCAAGGGGGCTGTGGGTGTGGCTACAGCTGGTGTCACACCCCATCGCACACCAGCCCCTCCTGCCACCGCTGCCTGTCCAGCCGTGGAGAGCAGGTGTAAAGGCTCTGGCCTGGAGGCAGGAGGCCAATGCAGGGTCTGGGCCTGCACTGCCTCTAGCTAGTGCCCTCAGGCAGGTGGCACGTCACAGCCCCAGGCCAGGGGTCTGAGGTTCGGCGCTCCCATAGTGCCAGAAAACCTGCTGTGGTTGCAGGGGACAAAGAAACTCTACTCCGTGGGTGTTTCTCTCGGGCAGCAGGGTCGCTGATAGAGGGTGGCGGGGGAGTGAAGCTGCCCTGGGACCATTGACGCTAAGAACTGGCCTGACAGATGTCCCCGTTTCCCACCCGTGCCGCCCTTCTGGCCTACGCTGGTAGCCCTCACCTGAAGGCTGGCACCAGGAAGTTGTCCTCTGATGTCCACCTATCTGGCTGTCCCCTGTCAGCCCTCTCCGGCAGCCTCCTCCCTTCCCCCCTCCCCTCCCCACCCCGGCACCCCTCCCCCAAGACGGTCCCAGCGGTCGTGTTCAGATATCCGTGGTGCCCAGAACGGACTCCTCCTGAGCCAAGGAGGACGTGTGAGCTGGACCCCCTCACCCGCCGTGGTGTCTCTCCCTGTCTTCCAAGCAGATTTGAAAGTGACCTGAAGGCCATGACTGGCCGCGCTCTTAGCTGGTACTGGAAGGTCATGTGGGCCGGCGTGAGCCCGCTGCTCATCGTCAGCCTCTTCGCTTTCTACCTGAGCGACTACATCCTCAGCGGCACGCTGCGGTACCAAGCCTGGGACGCCTTCCAGGTATCTGCCGTCCCTGCGGGGCTGGCACCGGGCCCCAAGGTCACTCGTGAGTTTAGTTTTCAGAAACCAAGGAACGGCATCCACAGTGTGGGTGGGCTATTTGTCACAACATGGAAATATCACCAAGGTATTTTAAAAAGCACTCAGGCCGGGACAGCAGAGCTGGGCTTTGAGTTTTTATGCACGTGCTGCAGGGAGGGGAGCAAGGTGCCCTCCCGACCCTCCCGGGACCTTGGCCCTGGGAGATGGGAATGAGTCCCCTGCGAAGGCACTAGTTCCTGCCCAACGGGCAGCGCCCTGAGCGGCCACCACACTGATGCAGAGCATTTCTGCCTTCACAGAAAGCTCCATTCTGGGCGGAGGATGGCCCCTGCATTTAGGTGTCCTGAAAGGTGCCTCAAGCATAGGGCCCTTGTTATTCCGGTGGCCATTCTTTTTTTTTATTTTTTTTGAGACAGAGTCTCACCCTGTTGCCCGGGCTAGAGTGAGTGTCGTGGCGTCAGCCTAGCTTACAGCAACCTCAAACTCCTGGGCTCAAGCGATCCTCCTGCCTCAGCCTCCCGAGTAGCTGGGACTACAGGCATGCACCACCATGCCTGGACATTTTTTTCTATATATATTATTAGTTGGCCAATTAATTTCTTTCTATTTTTAGTAGAGATGGGGTCTCGCTCTTACTCAGGCTGGTCTCAAACTCCTGACCTTGAGCAATCCGCCTGCCTCGGCCTCCCAGAGTGCTAGGATTACAGGCGTGAGCCACTGCACCTGCCCCCTGTGGCCATCCTTTGTGGGTGGCCCCAAACCACAGCTACACACACCGGTTGTTGGGCACTGTCCGTCCTTGCTTGTGGAAGAGAGAAGGAGGGTGTGGGGAGTTGGCCCTCCTCCATCCTGCATACTCACTCCTGAGCTGCAGAGCCAGGTGGCCCCGGGGGCAAGGATGCCTGGACCTCCCACGCTTTCTGCCCACCCCACACTGCCTGGCCACCGCACCTGGGGCCTGAGGCTTGTGGGGACAGTGCTCTCAGAGGTTCTTCCTGCTGACGCTCAGTCTCTCCTTTCAGGGCCAGCTCGTGACCAAAGATTACCCCGCCTACGCACTGGCTGTCATCGGGCTGCTCGTGGCCTCCTCCACCATGTGCATCCCCCTGGGTGCCCTGGGGACTTTTATCACGCGCCACCTCAAGAGGGGAGACCCTGCCCCGGTGGCCTGAGCACTCGGCTTCCTGGCCACGCACCGTTTTACAGACACTATTAACAGGCAGAATATTTTTCACAATATTTAAGCCAGGAGTACCCTGCCTGTCAACTGCCTGAGTCTCCACAGAAGAATCAGGAAGGTGTGGAGGGAGAAGACTCCCTCGGGAGGAGACACACCCCGGGAGAAGCTGCCTTTTGTCCCTCTGCCTGCCCTGACGGCCATGCCACCGCCCCTTGTCACCTAGGGAGGCAGGTGCGAAGGCCAGTCCTGACAACAGTTGCTTTCTCGATTCTAGGACGGCATCTTAGAGTCAGGGCACATTGTGAGCTGAAATTGGACTCTAATTCTCATGGGACCAGATTTAAGCAATTTGGTGTTTTGCTGAAGAGACACTCAAAATCTTAGAGGGCGCTCACTGTGTTTTGAAGTGCTTGAGATGACATATTTGAATGTCATTTGTGCAAAATTAATTCTTTTTCTAGTCATAGTGAATACGCGATATCTGTGTCCCCCCTTCCCCCTTTAAAGTCAGTATGATTGACTGACCATAAAGAAAGATGACCTTTGTTTGCAGCCCCGAAAGCGGCTTACCTTTCTCTAATCTCTCAGTGGGCCCAGGAGCAGCCGTCTCTACAAAATTGCCCCCACTCTTGTCTGCAACCCCAAACCACAGGAGCCCGTGCGGACACCCGCCCACCGTGTGGCAGTGCCTGGGCAAAGGTATCGGACGAAAGTGGATCTCAGTTTCCCGCAGACTTACTGTTATATTTTTGACATCATGGCCAACTCTATAAAGACCACAAACATCACCCACAATCAATCTTAAATTATCCATCTGTACATAAGTTTTCTAAAATGTGTATAATTCAAACAGAGCATCCTATAACTGAGTACGCACCGTATTTATGATGTAGTACTAGCCCACCACGCCAATTTGTCTTTTTTTTTTTTTTTTCACTGCAATAAAGTAGGCCTCTAAAGTGAGAGGGTCCTTTCCTCTCACTGTAATGTAACAGCGGTTCACTGAGATCACGCGATTCAGGAGAGAATTTTGGGGTATATTCGTACAGACATCTTTGAAGACACTTATATGCTCATGTGGGACATCAGCCAGAGATATTTTTTTTTTGTTCATGCTGTAAACTTTGCTATGGCAAAGACAGGCATCAGAAAGGCCTCCGCTGTCTCGCGCTACCGTCTCATCAATACTTGCAGCTTCACCTCATGTCCAGTTATAAAAAGAGCATTTGACTTTCAAATGTCGGAACCAGCATTCACTTGCCACACATATTCAGTCTTCTGGTTTCGCATCAGACGGTTCCTTAGCGTGGAAAGCCTCAGAGACGGAGGCTTGCCAAGTGGGCGCACTCAATGGCAAACACAGCACGGCGTCTGCTCCTGAATCCTTAAGGACCTGTCCCCTCCTCTCAGCCCGCACATGTGGTCACTGTCTGGTGACACTGGGACCACCGTCTCCTGGGGTCTGTCATCAGGCAGGGTGCGTAAGCTTCGAAACACCAGGTATCCTCGGGAGCGAAAAGGTACATGTCCCCCACCTCGCCAGCCATCCCAGCCACCTGGGAGCATCTAGAAGCTCAGATACCCCGGCCACACCTGGGACCAACCACCAGGCCTGCTGGCGGCAAGACCTGGGCCTCAGTGGCTCTTGAAACTCCCCAAGTGATTCCAATAAGCAGCCAAATCCGAGAGCCAGGCCCCATGGAAGAAAGAAGGAAAATGGGTAGCACATTTAGGGATGTTTACATCAAAGATGACTTTTAAGAATTTGAAGGCATTTTGAAGCATTCCCAACTATACGGAAAAGTCACTTCTACGGCATAATTTTCGCTCGTGGAAATCAGATGAACGAGGCGCCACTGTCATAGAATAATGTGCTCCAGATGAAAATGCCTCAAGTTTAAGTTTTCAGTCTGGTTTCTATGAACTTCACGAAGAGCAGCACGTTTACCAATAATCCTCTTGAGGCAGTAAATCCTGTCTCAAAATTTTTTTTTTTGCTGTTTCCTAGGCACTGCACAAAAGTGGCCATACTGACATTTGTCCACCCACCCTCCAGTAAGCTGGAGAGAAAAAGGGACATTCCATCCTGCACACCTAACAGTCACCACAACATCACCGCCAGATCCTGGACTCTGAAAAGCTTTCTATTTTTACCAGAACTTAGCTCTAAGAAATCAAGTAGGGAACTATTTGGGTTTTTTGTTTTGTTTTGTTTTGTTAGCAATTGTCATAGTAAATAAAATCCTAAGCAAGTATATCTATAGTTTTCGTGTGTGGTGTTTTTTTTTGGGGGGGGGTGTCATTTACTGGCTGTAGTTAAGACCTCTCAACACAAGATTTTTCCCTCACTATGTAAACACATACACAAGCTAATTTTGAAAAAAATGTAAAATAAAGAAGAGGAGGGAAATCCATCCAATCTTTTTTTCCTATCACCGTCTTCCGTGTTTACCTTCTCAGGTAGCCAGTGAAGCCACACCAACATGGCCGGTGGAGTCTATCACACAAGAAGACGTTAGATTCCATACGAAAAATTAGAAAATATTTCTAATTTTCTGGATTTACAACAGAATGAGAGCTTCTCTGAACTGCTGCAGAATCTTTTTTTTTTTCTATATATTTTTAGTTGGCCAATTAATTTCTTTGTATTTTTTTTTTTTTTTTAGTAGAGACAGGGTCTCCTCTTGCTTAGGCTGGTTTCAAACTTATGACTTGAGCGAGCCTTCCTGCCTCGGCCTCCCAGAGTGTTATGATTACAGGCATGAGGCACCCATGCCCAGCCTTTTTAAGAGAGTCCTGGGGGCCGGGCACGGTGGCTCACGCCTGTAATCCTAGCACTCTGGGAGGCCGAGGCAGTGTAGATTGCTTGAGCTCAGGAGTTCAAGACCAGCCTGAGCAAGAGCAAGACCCCGTCTCTACTGAAAAAATAGAAAGAAATTAGCTGGACAACTAAAAATATATAGAAAAAATCAGCGGAGCATGGTGGCGCATGCCTGTAGTCCCGGCTACTTGGGAGGCTGAGGCAGGAGGATCGCTTGAGCCCAGGAGCTGGGTGTTGCTGTGAGCTAGGCTGATACCATGGCACCTTAGTCCAGGCAATAGAGGAAGACTCTGCCTCAAAAAAAAAAAAAAAAAATATATATATATATATATATATATATATATATGCATGGCCTGTGCAAAACCACAGTAGGTTTGAACATGATCTTACGACCTCACCTGGGGGGGGAACAGGGTGTAAATGATTGTATTTGATTTTTGTATGAGTTACTTTGCATGGAACAGTTAGTTTATGGGCTATTCTCAATCCATAGGTAGAAAAGCTGGGGCAGAGAATTAACTAGCCCATGACTTCCCACCCTACATCAGTCAGGGGAAGGAAAAAAACCCCAACAGGTTACATAACCCTTTGCAAGGCAAAAAGTGCTTCTACAAATTCTTTGCCAGAATTTCTTGACCAGTCTCTTACATATGAATGACTTTTCTCTCTACTGCCCACCCACCTGCATAGTATCAGCTTTTTTTGAGGCTACTCAACTGGTGCATTACACACCAGTCCCTGGGCAGGTGCTTAGGACAGTGGTGAACAGGACAGACACACGGCCACTTGCTTTTATTGACATGACATTTACATTCTGGGAAGGAGACAGGCTGATAGGTAAATGAGATGATTACAGACTGTGATAATTTCTAAGAAGGAAATAAATGGGCCAATGTGACGGCGGTAGAAAGACAGTGCTTTAATCAAACTGTTGAGAAAAGGAGTTCAGTTCACAAATAAACTGAAATTTGAAGAAGAACTAGTCACTGAAATTCCTAGAAGGTCTATCCAGGAAGTGCCTGCAAGTGCAAAGGCCCTGAGGTAGAAAAGGACAGAAAGGAGGCCTATGGTTGTATGGGAAGAATGATGGGAGGTGAACTCGGAGGAGTGGGCAGGGGCAGGTCACATGAGGCCTTGGAGACCACAGCTAGGAGCTCGGATCTCCCTTGAAGAGCAACGGAACATCCAACGTGGGTCTGGCATGATCGGATTTATGCTTCAAAGATCGCTGTTGCTGTGAAGGATGAGAGGAGAGAGGCACAAAAGGAGAAGCTGGAAAATCACTCCAGAAGCTACTGTAACGAGCCCACGGAAGAAGATGGCAGCATGGGCTTGGAAGTGGACAAGGAAGTTGGCAGGTTTGAGTTCCATTTTGGAGGGAAGGTTGCCAGGATTGCTGACGGGCTGGATGCACGGTTGAGGGGAAGAGAGGAATAAGATTGCTTGAGCAGAGGTGGATCTAGTGGCATTTCCTAAGAGGGGAAATGGGGACAGAACTAGTCCTCAGAGTATCAGTCAAGAGCTCTGGTGACCATGTTGTCTGAGGTGCCTGTGAATCAGGTGACAATAGCCGGTAGCCTGTTGAACATAAGAATCTGGAGCTTTGGGAAAGTTCTGGGCTAGAGATACAAATTGGGGGGGTCACAGTAGAGAGATGTCATTTAAAGCCGCAGGTCTAACTGAGGTCATCTGGGGTGTGAGTGTACAAGGAGCAAAGAAGAGGGCCTGAGACCAAGGCCTACAAGAACATGTTTTCAGGCACAGCCCCAGATTCTTTTCCATCTCTCCCATGGAGAGACAGGGTCTGTGTCCTCTCCCCCTGAATCTAGGTGTGCTTGTGACTGCTTCAACCAAAATAAAATGACAGAAGAGACACCATTTGACATCCAAGGCTAGCTCGTTAAGAGGCCGTGCAACTTCCACCTGGTTTGCTGGACCCCTGAGCCGCCATGTACAAAGTCCCACTACCAGAGACTGCCAGGCTGCAGAGGCCAGGCGGAGGTGGTCCAGCTCACGGGACTGGCTGAGTGCCCCTCCCAGCCATCCTTGCTAAGGCACCAGGCCAGCCCATCTGTCAGCCAAAAACCACGCGTGACTTCCAGCAGTCCCATCCGGAAGAGAAGAACCACCCAGCCAAGCTTATGCCTGAATTCCTGACTCACATGGTTAGATTACTTTCTAGAAACAGATAACTAGATGAGGGATGAAGGAGAGATGAACAGGGAAGGGAGCAGTGAATAGAGTGGGACATGTGGTCCCAGCAGCTCAGAGAGAACACTCTAGATTCTCCTACACATGGCGCACTGCCTGTACTTCCTACTTTTCCTAATGTCAAAGTCTTTGTTTAAACCCAACTCTAAAAGCAGCTTAATTTAGGACATAAAATGTAACACGATATTTTAATGGATGACACTTCAACTTTGTACAGTTAGAATAATAAAGGGGCGATAGGCACGTGTCATCGAAAATGGTGGGTGTGCAAAGACGAATACCTAGACCTTTGGCCAAAACAATCAGAAACAAAACATAAATTCACGCTCACAAAAATCTATAAAGGGAAGTGTGAGGAACAAAGAGTCTGGGACCAGGACATTTGTTGTCATAATTAGATGTCTCAGCTCCTTAATAATTGGTCTGCCCAGCGAAATCACATCCATGGAGCCTCTCTGCATAGACGTCTGGCACAGAGGAACGAGGACAGTGGCAGGGAAAGATGGGAGCAGGACATGAAGGAAGACTCCCAGCTGTAGATTTGTCTGGGTCTCTCAGCCAGTGTGTGCACATGCGTGTGTGTGTGTGTGTGTGTGTGTGTGTGGGAGGGGGGTATTAGGAAATTGCCATATGGATAATAATCAAAAAAGTTATAGTTAAGGGACCATCAGGTCCAACACTCCACTGAGGTTCAAATAGGTTAGAGCTGATGTTTTTCAACTCCAAGGCCAGAGTACTCCGCCCCATGCTAGCCTTGTCAAGAATGAATTCCACGGAAGACTCATCCTATGAAATGCTCTACGAATGAAACACTCCGTAAGCCAAAACGTTTGGGTGCTGCTACACAGCATGTTTCCCCTCTAGCAGAGTCACTTTTCAAACCTCTGACAGGGCCTGCAGTTTAGACAACTCTATTTAATCCCGTGTTCACAACCAGTTCTCACCACAGATCCCCGCTTTCAAAAGACAGCTACGAACATATAGAACTCACACGACTCCCAAAGACAGTCGGGAAAGTGCACTGCATCAAGCTCTTTGTGGTACCGACTGAGGAGCTGGAGGGCCCAGAGCGTGTGGCAGGGCCACTCCACGAGGAATAGTTCTCAGCAGCGAAAACACACAGCCCGACGGGACCGAACAGAAAGAGCCCCGAACACCCATGAGTAGAGGGAACGGGACCGATGACAGTGGTGGCGGTCCAGACCATGAGGCATAGGATTCAGCAGCATGCTCAGCAACTGGCTAGGCCCAGGGGGAAAAGAGGACAGGACGCTAAGCCAGATGGCAGCAAACACTGCCACCCTGGAGGCCTCAGTAAGTCAGGCGTGGCCACGTGACCAGCTTTGGCCAGTGAAATGGGAGGAGATGCTGTGTCACTGTGGAGCGGAAGCTTCTTCCTTTTCCTTCTGCCAGGACAACTGACAATATTCCAAAGAGAGGCTGTTCCATCAGTCTGGTCCCAGAACGTGGGTATGGGGCAGAGCTACATCCACAACTTCAAGGATACACAGTATGAGAGAGAAATCAACTTTTTTTCCAAAGCCACTGAGATTTGGGAGTCATTTTATACTACAGCATAATCTGGCCTATCTTGATGAACACAGACTCTTTCCTTATCCCAGTGCCCAAAGTCAACTGTGGATGGAATAAAGACCTAAAAACGAACAAGCAAAACTACATGAGGCCGAGGCGGGCGGATTGCGCGAGGTCAGGAGTTCCAAACCAGCCTGAGCAAGAGCGAGACCCCGTCTGTACTATAAATAGAAAGAAATTAATTGGCCAACTAATATATATAGAAAAAATTAGCCGGGCATGGTGGTGCTCACCTGTAGTCCCAGCTACTCGGGAGGCTGGGGCGGAAGGATCGCCTGAGCCCAGGAGTTTGAAGTTGCTATGAGCTAGGCTGATGCCACGGAACTCTAGCCTGAGCAACTGTCTCAAAACACACAACAAAACAACACAAAACAATACACTTATCTAGTGTAACATATGTGTTAAACTAGGAATAAATGCAAGGAAATGTGAAAAAAATAATAATGCTAATGGTAACCTCTCTGGGAAGATATAGGAATCTCACTGGGAAGGAGAGCGCGGGCTTCCAAGGTGCAGGTTCTTTTCTTCCCAACTGTGCTACAGATGCCCAAAAGCAAGAGGAGGGAGAGTAAAGCTTTAGATAGAACTGGGGTATTGAATTCTTGCGAGCAAGGCACCTTTCCCAGCACTTCCTCCAA